CGCGTGTATAATAATACATTTATTTATGTCTAAAGAAATATATTTTGTATATTTTATATAAATATATTTAGAAAAAAATTATTATAATTCAGAATGCAAAATTGTCCCTCCCAACTAGAATTTTAAGTGGAAACCACCACCAACTGGCGGTGCTCTACCACCTTCTGTTAAGCCCATGTGAAAACCAGAGTTGCTCAAATCGGCATCGTCACCGTCGCCCAATTGTTTGTATTCTCTGCCGCCGCTCGGTGGCTTCGGAGACGCGTTTGTGGTTCTAATTCCTTGTTCCGATTTGGCAGGCCACGTGGGGAACATTTGTGGATCGATTGGCAAAGGCGCTTCAGTAAAGTATCCATGATTTAGCGCATCTTCGGCGGTTACACGTTGGCGAGGATCATAGGTTAGAAATCTGAAAAAAAGAAAACAATTATTTTAATCAAACTTTTAATCAAACTTATTCAGATATTGAAGGCATTCTTCATATGGAATAACTTACTTATTCAGCAATTCGATACCTAAATCCGACAACGACAAACTAAATCTTTGTCTGAGATTATTTACAGGATAATGTGCGAATGGGATTTTTTGTACTATAGGTAACTTAGCATATCCTGGCCAAATCCTTTCGCTTGGTGTACCCAACTCTTTAAATATTTTATTTAATTGATCTATATCCGATTTTCCTGGGAACAGTGGTTCCATCCTTAGAAGCTCGGCGAAAATGCATCTGAGAAAGTATTATCATAAATATCATAGTCTATTGTTTATGTAAATTCTAAAATTTTATATAACATATTGATAATGCGTTAATATTTTTTTAAGTTTTAAAAATTAAATATTAAGATATTATACTTACCCTACGGACCACATATCTATAGGCGTACTATATATTCCTAGATATTCTTTGTCACACAGCAATAACTCAGGGGCTCTGTACCAAAGGGTTACAACGATCGGCGTATATTGCCTCAAGGGAGAGCCATATTCTCGAGCTAAACCAAAGTCGCCGACTTTCAAAATGCCTCTGTGACTTAATAGCAAATTGGATGTCTTTAGGTCGCGATGTAATATCCAATTATCATGTAGATGTGCGACCGCGCGCAACAATTGTTGCATAAGACATTTAACTTCTCCTATAATAGAAAAAAATATCGATTTTTCCGTATGTTCGTATATTTTGTTATAAATTGAGAAGTAAAAAATTTGAGCAGTGTAAAATGTAATATGTAATTCACGAAACAGGTATTTCCATATTTACAAATCCTTAACGTTCCGTGCCATATGGGTTACTGATGACCTCTGCTGAATTTTTTGTTTGATATTTTGGTTATAAAAACAAATATAATTATAAAATAATTTCTAGCATCACATACATAAATATTTAATTATGATACATGATGCAATATTGATGTGTGTGTATGTATATATATATATATATATTGTAAACTTTTTTCTTCATATTTTTGCAATTTTTATAAAATACACTGTTATTTAACAAATATAATAAACACAAAGAAAAATATCGTAGACCCACCGGTGATCAAATCACTTAAAATTGGTACGGCACGGAATGTGTACCTTAGATTGCTAATCTGTGATTAAGCGTTATTTTTAACTTATATTTTTGTTAAAATTATTTTTCATTTTTCAGTTTATGCTGTTATTACGTTCAACTCTTCAATTGGTTCCCTACTTCATTATATATAACAGAATATACTCACCAGGTATAAAAACTTGTTTCTTCTGCTTCATGGTTTCTATCAGGGATTTCAAATCATGCTCCACGTAATCCATAACAATAAATATTTTATCCATATTGCTGCCGACGACTATCTCCCGCACGGTGACAATATTGGGATGTTGTGCTTTCAGTAAAGTATTGATCTCTCTCAGGCTTGTAATCGGAAAGCCTTCTTTTTCCTTTTCCATTTTCAATCGTTTCAACGCGACTATCTCATCCGTACGTTTATCACGTGCCCTGTATACGACTCCGTATGTACCTTCTTCGATTCGATTTAGACATTGGAATTCCTCGACACTTCTACAACCTAAAGAGTAAAGTTACAATACGTATGCAATAAATAAAAAAAAAGAATAACGAAAGATAGATCTTAAAATTACAGACATGGATGTGTATATACATATAAATTCACACCGAAATATTATTAATTCTAATTCGCTACCTTAAACAACATGCAAGTACTCTATGATTTTTTTACATTACTGTAATCTCTGGATTGAGGTTCGAAAAAAAACTTGAACTATCCATAGGTATGATAAGCCTGCAATTTTTTACGTATTCTCAACGTGAGAGTGCATAAAAGAGGATTCTACGCTTGGAACCTGCGTGTGACCATAACTAGCTCGTAAGTTTTAGCGCGTTCTGAGAATCCTTTTATTATTATTATTATTATTATTATTATTATTATTATTATTATTATTATTATTAGATATGTTTACCGTGTTTCGGTTAGAATGAAAGTTAAAATGAAATAAGTATATGAAATTGAATTAGAATTAAAAAAATTTATTTTAATATAATAAGTAGTAGAAATTTTGTGGCCTCTGTCAGTCTTGAGAGATCGCTCAATCGAGCCGGATGTACTATCGATTCAAATTCAAAAACTATATCATTCTCTAAATCATCGGTGTAACCTACGGCGCTGTCGAAGCCAAAGGAAGCGCAATTACTGATAGGTATAGTTTTGTAGGTAGTTCTAAATATTAAAATTGTATTCATTAATAATTCATTGTAAAATTACAATATGTACAATATGTACATTTTTTTTAAATCTCGGTTTGCTTTAAATAACGATACTTTTTTGAATGATTCATATCGTATTATTTCTTTTAGCCCAAAGGGTCAACTAAAAAAATCCTACGTTTTTTTTGCTTAAAGTTTAAATTTAAAAATTTGAGAATTTTTTATCCAAGGTAGTCGTTTTTCGCAACTTTTTCAATTAAATTTTTTTAAGTCACTGTAATTAATTGAAAATAAATTATTTTTTATTCATTTTTTTTATTCATATTTATATGTCTTTGTCTGAGAAAGACTTTGAAATACAGATTTCACACATTTTTCAGTTAAAAAATATGCATTCAGAGATAAAACAAAGAGTGACAGACAAAGTTGCAGGGTTCCATAGGCTCTGATATGGCCGGGAAGGTAATCAAAAATAACAATGAAGAGTTAGAGTTAAGCATTAAGATTTAATCCAGCTCAGATTGAATGAGGCATTGTTCTTATTTATTCACATGTAAGTCTAGCGTCATTTATTGTGTTTAAAAATTAAATTTGAAATAAAATTGATAAAAGATAAAAAAATTAAATTAAAAGAATAAAGACAAATGTGAAATGATCAAATTGAAGATGATTTACAATAAAAATCTCTTTAAATCTTTTATCATGATGTAGAAGAAATTATTATCTTCACATTAAATCAATTTTATTTTTAGATTATATTATTACAATTTTTTACTTATATACAATATATATATAATAGTTTGACTTACAGTCGAATGCTTTTCTTCCTTCAATTATATTTTTATATTTATTTATAGCACACATTTTTTGCTTACCCTGAATAGCTGGCAGATACGGCGGTAATTCCGGTTCCTCCACTTTTTTTTCCTCCTCTTCTATGTTTTTCGAAGCATTATTGGAATCGACATGTCCAGGAGAGCCTCCATCCGAATGATCGGATTTGGCTAATCGATCAACGGATAATGGACTTGGATTGTTATATTCTGAGCCATCATTGGAATCACCAGCAGAACCTTTATTTGACTCATTAGATTCGTCATCGTCATCACTGCTCGATTCCGAGGAATCGGACGAATGTCGCTCCGAAGATCTTTCATGTGGACTTCTTTCTCCTTCAGTTGAATGTTTAGACTCGGCTGATTTTGATCGTACACCTTCGGAACGAATAGGACTGATGCTTTCATCCGATAGCTCTACAACTGAAGGATCCGGATTGTTACTTGGACTCATGGGTCGTTTCTCGCCTCTCTTCATCCTTCTCGCTTCCAATTCTATTCTAGATACTTCTTTTCGTCTAGCCATTTCTCTGTCGGCTTCTAATAGCCTTTCTTTTCTAATTTCTTGCTCCGTCATTTCTTTTGGATCTTTAATCTGTATCGAGATCTCATTTTGCACATCCATCTCATTAATGTCATCGGTTACAACCTCCATCGCTTCCCGTAGTTGCTTGTCCCGATGCTCCTTTTCGCGTTCCATTTTTTCTTGATCTCTTTCGCGAGTACGATCATGCTTGTGAGATCTTTTACGACGTTTCTCAGATCGTTCCATCAGTTCACTTTCCGAAAATTGCTCTTCCATGATCACTCGTACATGTCTCTGTTCCTCCATACGAATCTCACGACGTTCTCTACCATCGTCCACCGTACGTATTTCACGACGGTCCCGAATGTCTTCCATCCGTATTTCTCGCCGATCGCGCGATTCGCGTAAATCTCGCAAGTCCTCCACCAATCGTACCTCATGTCGAGATGACTCGATTTTATAATTCCGAGTATCACGTGGATCCTCACGTCTCTCTCTTCTCTTGTCCAATAATCTAAAACACACATACAAATATCTATCTGAGTAGATTATTAAAAGAACTGATTCATATAATCATTATACTATTTACATTTATATTTTTTTGGAAATAGACAAGAAGAAATTCTACAATTACCTTTCTCTTAAATCTTCTAGGACACGATCACCTGTACTTCTTTCCTTGCGATCATGCCTGGAAGATTCTCTGTCTCTAGAATGGCTTTCCATTCTGTCTAAACGTTCCATCCTCTCGCGATTCCTTTTGGAGCTTTCTAAACGTTCAGCTCTCTCAAGAGGCTCTCCCACATGCCTACGATGCCTATGCTTGTCCCTGTGTTGTCTGTCTTCGCGTTCATGCTGACGCGACTTGCGTTCTTTCTCATCTCTACGATTTCGTCTGTCGCTGTGTTTCTCTCTTCGACGAGACGAACTAGATTTATGATGGCGAACAACTGCTTGTGGTGGTTTAATATCCAAGGAATCGGCCGTGTCGCCACCCTCTTCCTCTGAAAAGCTGTAGATATCGAACAATTTGTAATTAAATTCAAATCGATGATATTACAGACTTAAAATTTTTATTGTTTTAACAATATTTACTACACACTTACTGTACACTTTACAAATCTTTTGACACAATTGATGAATACAATTAAGAGAAAAATTTAATAAATATTTTAATGTTAAATAAAACAAATTAATATATATTTTTTCCATATATCTCAAAGTAAAGACGATGTCGCGAGGAATATTTAAATACGAAAGATAGAAATGAAAATAATTGGATTATTCACAGTATAAACGTGCATTGTCTCGTCGAGTTTTGAATACCTAAAAATTCTGGGCAGCATCGTTCGTCATTCTGCTCCGTGAGACGTTACGCAACACGTTTTTATTTATCGTAAAAGAAAAGGAAGTAATCTCTCAATGGGATTGACAAAAACCACTCGACGCCAAATCCGTCCTGTATTCCATTCGCGAATCGCGACTCGCGAGTGTATTGTATGTATGTATGTATGTATGTACCAAGTACTGCCTTCGACAGTCGACTCACTCCGATAACCGATTTTCGAATGTCGAATGCCGAATACAAAAGGATAAAAATTTGTCGCGCAAGCGCGCACATGTGCCTTAAATGTAAATGTTATTTTAAGCTAACCTAGACAACGTCCACTTTCACGTGGCTCAGACAACAAAGAGTAACAGATGTGCAGTTGGCTGGTAAAGCGACTGATTTTTCTTTGAAACCTAATTTCAAACAAATTACATGGCAATATCATAAAAATAAATACCTAAAATCACCCATATCCTTCGATGGACTTTTCTTAATTTCTCCGTCTTCGCTCTGATTATCGATATCCATATCCGACGTATTCGCGGACATATTCGCGCCAACAATTAACTGATTTTTAACCTATACTCATTGGAATATCGCTCGTTGTTTTCGAACGTGCTTCCATTTTTAAAGAATTACAGCCCATGGAAGGATTAGCAGAATAATCAGTGTGACGCTCAATTATGAATTTTGAATCGTAAATATAGGAAAAAAAAAAGAGTATCACGATTTTCTTTATCTGCACTCCGTACCACTACCGATTGTTACGTGTTGCGACTTCACTACAAGTAGTACAAGTTTAGTGAAAATAAAATGGTGGTAGAAAAGATAGTAACATAGGTCTGTTCGCATTACTTGCACTTTTGACACTCGATATCTTCGCTTATCTCTCTTTTTAAGGCAAAATATGTATTTATCTCATTTTAAATGCAAAAATATTTATATTGGGGATTTCATGTTCACGTGAACAGAGTATCAATCATGAAACTTTATCCTTAGGATGGAAAATAAGGGGCTCCGCACAATAAAAGAAACAGAGAACAAAGATAAGAATTTCAACCTATCAGAAATCATGTATTGTGGAATATACAGTTTCTGATAGGTTGAAATTCTTACTCTCTGTTCTCTGTTCCCTGTTATTGTGCAGAGTCTTTAAGCCTTAAACATAATGCGAAGGAATAGCAATAGCGATAAAAATAACACGATTTCAATCTATTAGTGTATATTCCAGTGTATCTGATTTCTGATAGGTCGTATTATTCCTATCGCTATCACTATTCCTTCGCATTATATTTAAGGCTTAAAAGGTGAAAACTTTAACTAAAGAGAAACCTGAGAGAGGACATGACTGCCCAAAACCTGTAACCGCAAAATGCTGCCGCCACTACTGCCTTCTGACAAAGTATAAACTACATAGCAACGTTCACTTTTCAAGGCTGAAGATGATAAATCGATATTTAGTTCATATAGGCCGTATTCCAAATAAACTGCCAGCACTGAAAATGTTACAATCTACATCACGTGCACTATAGATTTTCAATACTGGCAGTCAATTTTGGAACACAGCCATAAGCCCGTATTCATAGTCAGAGCTTGTACTTAAGACTTTCTTAAATTTATCTTTAGATGTTTAGCAGCCAATGAAACAATTCGTACAGTATCTGAAGATAAATGTAAGGAAACCTTGTAGCGTTTTTTTTTGGGATACACTGAGTATAACCTCGCATTACACCAGTTGCGTGTAAGTGCTGCATCAGTGCCGCACTACAAGTATGTACATACACCATGGTGTTTACTACTTCGTGCTATCGTGTTTAATTCTGCTGCCAATTAACTTCCATTTTCAAATTTTTAATGTCACACTGGCTCTATATCGTCTCTTTGAGATCGTATAGCAAAATCCATTTCATACATAAAATTTGCCCTACACTATAACCATAGTATAACCAGTAGAGACACTCAGCGTGTTCGCGCAGATATGGCTGCGCAGCTTTTGTTTTGGGCCGGATCCAATGAAAAGATGACAAGAACGAACATATTACACAGATTCCGTGTGAGCAGATATCCGTGGCAAAAGAAGAAAATTTAAGAGCTGCGTCGTAAATATTTCTAAAAAAATGGATAAAAAAAAAGTTATGTTACGTGAAGTATTAAACAATGCAGTAATAATATTAAAAATTCACAATGCATTTTTTTTTCGTTATCCCAAAGATATCGTAAGATAAGTTTTTATAATTTACAAAAAATAAGTAGTTTATGTTAACTTAATTAAACATAATCAAATGTAATTTTGTGAAAAAAGATAATATTTTGACTACGTTTACATGACATCCTTAATTATGTTTTTTAGAGCAAAGCAATGAACTATCGCATAGGGCATTATATCCTCTTTCGGTCCTGGATTTTTCAAACGTTAACATGGCGGATGCTCACGTGACTGCGGCGCGAAGATCAAAGATGCTGACACGAAGTGTCCCTACTGTTATATTGTGCTATAGCCACGGAAACACATTACACTGAATGAGTTCGCTTACCATCAGCCAAGGAAACACGCTACACTGTCTGAGTGCACTGGTAGGCGATATTGCAGCCAAGAGAAAACGCTATTAAATATAAGGCTTGATTATAAATACGGGCAATAATCGTATGTGTAATATGAATCAATGGATACATCCAAAAACGACGACCGCTCATTGAGCGCTCAATGAGCGGTTGTCGCTTCTGGATGTACACATTCAGTCCAAGACCTCGGACGAAGAGAGAATTGACCAATCGCAATAGTCATGTGATCAAATTGTTCAAATGCAATTTGTTAATTATTTCTCTGTTCGAGATCTCGGACCGATTTCTAGCATTGTGGACATCGGGCTTTATTGAAACTGGAATATCAATTAAAAATATCGCTATATCGGCTGAAGAAAATCAATATTTCGATGTACCGATTTTCGAGTCGAGTACTGCCATCCCTATTGCGCATCCACAGAAATAGCTCACCTTGTCTTACCGCTACGTACATTTTTCTGCCATGGCATGCACTCCGAATAACTCGAAATCGGGACAAACGGACAAGTCTGATTGTTGATTCGTACGCTTTTAACGAGTCAAGCAACTTGGATAATTTACATTTATTATTAGTTATATATCCTTACATTTTTATTTATTTACATATTATACCAATCGATTGTTATAATTGTATAACAGAAGATGAATAGCAATAACGACGAAGTTCTTCATTGTCCATACAACAAGTATCATCGTATAGCTAGTTCGAAATTTCAGCGACACCTTGTAAAATGCGAAAAGGTGACAATATCATTTTATATACTATAATCCGTTTTGAGAAATATACAAACGAATGTAAAATTTTCGTATAGAATTTTCCTTCTGATTACAAGGTTATCTGCCCATATAATGCAACTCATCGTTTGAGTAAAAGTGAGATTGAAGAACACATCAATACATGTCCTATGAGAAGGATTGTCGAAGGAAGTTATATTCGGCGTAAGTGCACAAAGTTACTTTAAAACTCTCTGACGAAATTTTTATTATAAGGCTCTCTGCATGTTTATATATACAAGAGAATCTTTTCAATGTAGACAAAATGCTGTGATAGCTGTGATATAATTCAATTTTATGTAGCGCCAACAACTCATGGGATGATAAGACCAGAACAAAACGATTCTACAAGTCAAATTGATTATAATAGTTATTGGGGAAGTCAAGAAGAAATATAAGATTGTAAAGATCTTAAGATTATAAACTCCAAAATAATTATTAAACTCATGGATTGAAGGAAAAATACGAAACTATTTGTTAGGACGACAGTCAATACAAGTTGAGACAATAAATCTAATTACAATATATCTAGCTTCTCAGTAACAAATTACATGAGACAGAATCTAGAATATGATTATACAAATGGAGTGATCCCATAGGAAAAAATTAAAAAAAAAACGAAAACATAATAAACTTTTTTTTTATTTCTCAAGATAACAAAATGATAGAAATATAATTTTTTTATTAATGAATCATAGGTTTTTTAATGTTTCCCTCAAATGCTTTTATTTCACATAAATTTTGTTTATTTTTATACTTTACATCAATCCTAGTATTTACAGGTATTTGAAGTGAATTTTGCATGAATAAAGACATTGCCTAGTGTATATGTATATGTATGCATATGTATATGTATACACACACACACACACGTGTATATATATATATATAAATATATATATATACACACACACACATACACATATACACAAATGTGTATACATACATATACCCAAATATATACATATAAAAACAATATCAAACTTCATGATTAGATTATTTTTGAATCTATATATACAAATAGCATGTATGGTATTTTAATATTATTAAATATTTCAATTGTTTGTATGTGTATCTCCATCTTTAATTATTTCATAAAATAATTGTACCAAAAAGACTATCTAACGTAGTTCTGAACAGGATTGTCAGATGCAGGCGACATTGAACGACTTGCAATAGGTCTTTTCTTTTCTCCAATGAAAGAATGATGAACCATGCAAACAAGTTCGATTAAAATGAGCAGGCCTACTGTAAAATTTGTAAATCACTTAAAACATGTCGCCTCATTTGGTAATCCTAGTTATGAAACTCTCTTACTCTCAAAATTTTTAAATTTTATGTCAAGTCTTTTATCTGCCTACGTAGACACGTTGCACAAAAGTATGACAAATGATATACAACTTTCATCATTGAATAATCACCTTTTTTATACTTCTTTAGAAATTTAAGACTAATAATGATTTTTATACTCATGTAGTATCAAACTTTTATATGTGCAGCATATTCAAATCATGATCCATTTAGTTAATACTATGATGTATATAAATTTATATTTACATTTAATGACAAAACGTGTTCTAATGTTATCAGTATGTGGGGAATTATTAAAGTAAAAATATGATAATCGTCAAAATAAATGTGACACTGGATAAATGCAATTATTACTTTTGAAAAGTAAGATTATGAATTAATTATGAGTCAAGATGCATATTAAATCTTCAATTAGTAAATAGCTTAGAATTTAATGCAGCACAATTCAAATGCTACGTTCTTTAAATATTATAATTTCTTTGGAATGTTACATACATGTGTGTGTGTGTGTGTGTGTGTGTGTGTACACACACACATACATATATATGTATATATATTTATTGCACAAATAAGCAAATAAATAATGATTAATGAATGATAAAGAAATAATTTGATAGAGAAAAGATAAATGTATGTATATACTTACACTTAATCACATACATACATATATGCATTATTTTGTTAATAAAAATTAATAAATGGAAATGTCCTTTGTGCATGTGTATATATAATAAAGTTATGATAAGACAGTTAAGTCACATAAAAAATAAAAATGGTCGAATCTTACTATAATCAAAGTAAAATAACATTCATATTAAAAGCAAAACGTAACTTAAAATGTTGCAAACTAATACACATACATGATGTAGCATTTATCTGTAAAAAAAAAAACATTTTATCTTCTTTACAAAATAAGGCCAAAAAATAACATCTGAATTATATATATATATAGAGCGTGATGTATTTTTGCATCTTTAGCAAAAGAATGCAAAGTAATCCACGAATTTGACTATTATAAATAATTTCCATACTTTCAACTATCGTCCTGAGGATTGACAAATAATTATACATTACAACTTTATATATAACTTTAAATAGTACTGCTGAAATCGTTGAATTATAAATCTTATACACACGTAGATTTCTTGTCAATAATAATTTTATTTGTAAATGTCGAGTTCGTGGAAGTATAGTAGTCATTAATATTACTAGTTTTATACTATTTAACATTATATTTTTGCGGGATATGCTTCAAACTTACCCGCCACATACATTGAAAGACGTAAAAAGTAATGTTGCTTATTTATGAATAATGTGATTTTGAATACTGACATGTAGCCAGTAATTATTTACAACTTTCTAAAGTATGTTTGGAGCAATATATTGGCAGTTTGCTAGCTGCAGTCTGAGTTAATGTTTTATTGTATAAAAACTGTAAATTTATTGAGCGCAATTGTTGCACAATAGCGAGATCATTGCACTATATTCTTTAACTGCACTGGATCGATGCATGATAAAATGTATCGTGCAATATTGACAATTATATTAGATTGCATGCTTCTCTCTCTCTCTCTCTCTCTCTCTCCCCCCTCTTTCTCTCTCACTCACTCACTCTCTCTGTTTCTCGCTTTCTTTTTCTATGTTGAATGCTAAATTTTTTTACTCCTATATTTTTACTTGCAGAATTCTCACATTAGCACCGTTTATATATTTGTCGATCTTTTCTTTTGTTGTTTCCATATAGATATCCTTTCTTTCAAGTCGAGCACTGCAATAATAATCATCAGTTTAATATATTTTATAAAATTTTTATACATTTTTGTAAAATTATATATGAGGATATATGAATAATACAATCTTTTGACAATTCTTATATTTAAAATTAAAATGTAAGAAGATATTAATATAAAAAATATTTTAATAAAAATATTTTAAATAAAAAAAACTGCATAATTGATTGTGATACAAGCATCGCAAAAATCGCAGAACGTATTCTATAAAAAAATATGTTGTTACGAAACGCTGTTATTATTTGTTAGATATATTTAAGCTAAGAAAAACTTCATTTTACTGAATAAGAAAATGTGAATGATGCACTTACTTGGGGTGAGCATGTCTTCGCTAAGTGGCTGCCGACTGAAAGGATCCGTGGCACTATTGAGTAAATGTCTAATGATAACTGCTTTGTCCATAACAATACCAGATGGTAGTCTGACTGGATCCTCCATAAGAGTATCCATCAATGGATCTCGGAATTCCTCAGGAGCGTCGCCGTAATCTGCATCACGCGCGCGATTATCTCTCGCGATTATCGCCGCACGTTCCGCGAGCGCTATAAATCTCTCAATTTCCGTAGTAGTTTTGATCGCATATTTGTGTAGCCTGCTTACAGCGTCCGTGAATAATTCCTTACAGAACGAACGCTGGAAAAGAAAATAAACAATTTTTTATATTCTTATCTATATATATTATCTATATATTTAATGAAATGTATAAATGATGAATGGAAAGACACTAACTTCGTCACTGGCTAAAGCGGCCGCAAAATTATCACAGTCAAGATGCAAATATATATCAACCAATTGGCTAAGTAACGTCCTTGGTTGCCATCCGTATTTTTGCTGTGTTCTCACTCTCAGATTTTTGCACTTAGGTCCGCACAATTGTTGCAAATTGAAATTTAGCATGGCACACAATCGCCCGACTAATTCCGGTCGTAGGAACGGTTCCTTAATGTCGACCGTCAGATAGTGGAACATGGCAACTGTTTCCTTGGCTAATGTAAGATAAGACTTGGCCTGTCTCTCGTCTGCTGCCAGCTGCCTCGTCCTCGATTGCTGTTGCTCTTGGGAAAGTGCACTCCACGCGGTAGTGTCCGACATGAGTTCCTGCACCTCGTGTATACGCTTCAGAGATTCCAAACTCTCGTCAAGTAGAAAGGTAGTGTCATTCATCAACATGTTGATAAACTTGACAAATTGCTTGCCATTATTGCTTTCATTGACAATAGACGCTCGATGTACCGGACTATCCCACATTGATTTCAAAATTAGACTTATGTGATAACGTATTGAAAATTTATCGTAAAACTCGGAACTAGAGCCAGTGGTTTCAACGTCGGTGTAAAACTTCATGAGATACGACGCCAAAAGTGTCTTGGATATAGGATGCGCCATGACTTTCTCGTGGAGAATCTCCGTTCTTCCCTGCAGAAGATTACAGTTGTAAACGCGCGCGCGCGCACGCGTGCACACACACACACACACACACACACAATAATGCAGTAATATAATTTAACAATATTTTCCTAATAAATTTACCTGAGGGCTAGGATTTATCACAAAGAGGACCTCGATGATTTTTGCAATTAGATACGGATTTCGTATACAATGCGGTGTACACACGACGACCAGTAGCCACGTGATAAGCGGATTATCCATATTACCACTTATCACTACTCCAGGACAGAATCTACATGCGGAATTATAATTATTAATAAGCGTATCATATATTGTATAATTATAATATTTTTTTAATTAATACTTAATAATACATATAATGAGAACTTACTGGAGTGTAAACACCAAGAATTCCGCTATATCCTCCACGTACCATTCCGGTAATGCGGTAAACTTGCATGTGACTTCCTGAGGAAGTGGAAGTTTGGGGAGAGGGTTACCTGGGGCAGTCTGTGTCAGAAGACTCAACAAAACCTCAGCCACGGATATATAAAAATGTAAGCATCTTCTTAAAAAGACAGGGTCTATCAGACCTGCGTCCGCACACGATTTAAATTTACTTAATTGTTCCGATTGCTGCTTCCATTGTTTAATCAAATCTCTATTATGTTCAGCGAAGGGGCTATCCTTCCACTGGGGTTCCGTGGCTTGCAATTCGTTGAGCATATTTTTTAAGTCGCGTAACGCTCGCAATTTTCTTTGATACTTTTGCAATGCCGGTAGTAACGCGATGTGATGGCAATGCAACGTCAAGAACCAGCACTGAGTTGGAAATTTCGATTCCGTCCACTTATGCGTCTTCTCCAGATGCTTTTGCCATTCCGCGACTTCCTGCGAGGTAAGTTTCAGTCTTGTGTCGTTCTTTATATCAACAAAGCTGGAGGGATGAAATGGATACAGAGGATCTACGGTGTCCAGTTTGATTTTTACAGAGAGCATTTGCAAGACCGATAATAAATTCAACATAAATCCATCTCCGGCCAGAGAAAACTCCTCGGTTTGTATTTGCGCGCGTTTCTCATTGTGACGCAACAACGCGGCCA